CTCTGTGAGTTCAAGGCCACCTGGTCTACATAGTGAGTTCCAGGCCAGTTGGAGCTACAGGGAGACCCTGTCTCAAAAAAAATAAAAATAATAAACGTTTTCAACTGGATACAGTGGAACGTACTTTTAATCCCAGCACTCAGGAGGCAGAGGCAGGCGGCTCTTTAAGATCAAGGCCAGCCTGATCTACATAGTGAGTTCCAGGATGGCTGGGGCTATAGGGAGACCCTGCTTCAAAAAAGACAGAAAAAAAAAAAAAAGAAATATACCATAGAAGAAGTTAAAACTTAAAGTAATCCCCTTTAGAAACAGGCCCTAAATGATGTTAAAATTTAAACTCCCATTATGTAGACCTGGCACTAATATAGGGATAAACCCTGAGAAAAGAATAGCAAGGCCCACTAAAGCTTGTCCTAGAAGTCAAGGAAAGCTTCCTAATGATAAGACTCAGCACTCACTGAGCTCAGGGCTGAGAAGCATGTCGTGGCCCACCTGGACTTGTTCTGTGAGGTCAGAAATCCTAGGAAGGGATGAAGGTATCAAGAGTCATGATGCCCAAATTAGGAACTGAAAAATATGACTTTTGTGAAACTGCTATGAGCATTCTAATGCATGTGTTGTGGTGAAAATGCACCCACCTTTCTATTGGTTAATACCCAGGAGTAAAATTGCTGGGCTTTAGTTCATGTTTCTATGTTCAACTTTAGTAGAAAACACCAAGCAATTTTTCCAAAGAGAATACCAGCTTCCACTCTGGCCAGCCAGTGTATGATGGAGGGTTTGGGTGTACTACATCCTTGACATGTTTGTCATCACAGCCACTCTACTGGGTGAGTAGTGGTATCAAACCAAGCTCATCATCAGTGCTCAGCAGAATGGATCAGTAGATTGTGGTCTAGCCATGTAGCGGAACTCTGTACGAACTACAAATAGCCTGCACCACTCCCTCAAACACTGCGAAGAGCAAGAGAAGACGGACATAGGAATTCACATTGTCTGATTTCATTTGCATAAAATTAAAATATCCTCATGATGCATCCCTGTTAAGAGTCAGGATGGTGGGGTGGGGACCACAGAGGCCTCTGGTGCTGAGAGTTGTTTCTAGACCTGGGCGTTGGTGTCTTGAGTCCATTCAATTTGCAGAACTCTCTTTTGCCATAACGTGGAATCCTTGTACTTGCTATAGCATAAACATGGGTGGAACATAGGTGAGATTCTCTGTGAAAAGCAATAGAAGTTCATGGCCCTGCACTCATTTCCTTATACTGGGGATTGGACCACCTGCAACATATTGAGACATTAAACTGGGACTCTCTAGTGAGATGGGGCTCTCGAATGTGTGTATAGAATCTGTTTCACACCATGGGTCTGAGTCAACACCACCTCTAGCACTGACCACCTCTTTTTCCTTCCTCCGAAGTACAGTATCCAAGTTGTTCCTGAGTACTTCCTTCTCCCCAGCTATGCTGCCCACATTATGGGTCTGTCTAAACTTTGCATCCTTTGCCATAATGGCAAGTTAGTCTCTGAATGAGAAATGGTTATACACATCAGTGTCTGTGCCTTCTGAATTCGGCAGAAGTGGGGAGCAGCTATGTCAGGCAATAAATGTGGGCCCACTCACAACTTGAACGGGTCAGGAATTGCATTTGGAAAATCTTGGTGGCCATGTAGGTATCCCTTGGGCGTGGTAGATACCACATGGGCTATCTCTCTAGCCCCATGCTAAGAAGCAGCAGTTTTCTCTGAATAGCCCTTCCTGGCCTGGATCAGAAGAAGCGGGGCAGTCACAAAGCATGCTGCCTGCTGACCCCACCACCACCCCCACTGTTCCCACCACCATTCTTCAGAGGGGACCAAAGTCCGGTGAGTAGTCTGGACTCGGGTGAGTAAAAAACTCCATGTCAGTCCCACACCCAGCTCAACAAGGTGCCTCAAAGATTCATTAAAGAGGCAACTCTATCCTCACTCCAGGGCTGGACTCCTAGGGTGGACACTGTGCCCTTTCTGGCACATATCAGTTCCCCTGCTGTCTTAAATCTGGGAATTAGATATGACAAAGCACCTCATCTTTTTGAAAACCCTGAGGTAGATTATTAACTTTCCAAGTTCCCATCAGCTGATCAGATATGGAATTCCCCTTTTCCTTAAGCATTTATGAAATTCCCTAGGAGGGAGGGGGACAGAAAGGGGGGAAATGGGGAAAAGAGGGATATGGAGGATAGAAATGGAGGAAGCAGGGTGGAAAGAAGTTAGCCAAAATGCAGGTAGACGTGAGGCATTAGGGTGGCTACAGTCTCTTATAATTTACGATCTATTTCAAGAAAACTAGAAAAGAAGAGCCCAGGGGCTGGAGAGATGCCTCAGTGGTTAAGAGCACTGACTAATCTTGCAGAGGACCCGGGTTTGATTCCCAGCACCCACATGGCAGCTATGAACCATCCTCGACTCCAGTTCCAGGGGAATCTGATGCCCTCTTCTGACCTCTGCAGCATTGCATGACACGGGTGCACTTACACACATGCAGGCAATACCCTCATATACACCATACACATAAAATAAAAATAATAAAATATTTTTTTTAAAAAAGAGCCCAAGCTGGGTGTGGTGGCGCATATCTTTAATCCCAGCACTTGGGAGGCAGAGGCAGGCGGATCTCTGTGAGTTCAAGGCCAGACTGGTCTATATAGTGAGTTCCAGGATAGCAGGGGGGCTACAGGGAGACCCTGTCTTAAAAAGGAAAAAAAAAGAAAAGAGCCCAGAAGTTGTCAATGCATAGAGACAGAGCAGGGTGGAGTCCTGACAAGCTACTGCTAACAAATGTTGCTTTGCCCTGAAGCTTCTCTCCTCAGACATGAAGAATCTCCTTCTGGAACTCGAGGCCTCACCATCACCCTGCATGCAAGGCTCGCTCGGCTCTCCTGGGCCCCCCGGCCCCCAGGTGGGTGCACCCTGCTAGGCCCCCACACCTGTTGTCCGTCCGATAGGGAAGCCCAGTGGGCAGAGCCTCATAGTGTCCTTATGACGTGACATGTGGTTGGTTTTCCTTCTATAGCTTCCCTCCTGCTCCAGAGCCCCTGAATAGAGTCTTTGGGTAAACTCTGACTTCACCTGTCAGCATGGATAATAGTGGCCCCTGCCATGCTGAGTTTGTTTGAGATGCTACATATGTGACAGTGGACTATCATTATGGTTATCAACAAACACTTGTTGATAATGTACCTAATGTGACCGACCATCCACCCATCTGTGGGCCTAGAGGAACTTGCATTCAGTGTAAGAAAATTGAGCTTTATTGGACCCCTAGACTGCAGCCCCAGCCAGGGTAAAAAAGAATTAGGAACAGGCAAATTGGTGGATAAAGGACTTTCTAGACAAATAAGCAAGTCCTCCAGAGACCCCCATCTCAGACACTGGCCTACTACTGAGAAGACTGGATCAGCTGACCTGAGGCTCTGCATTCTCCATGGGGAGGGGAAAGAAGGGCAGGGGGCATAGAAATCAGCACACAGCTAAGTACACCCATTGTGGCTTCCCAGTGCTAGAGGTCTAGGAGCTGAGCTCCTGGCTCTGGAAGACAAAGCCTCACGGGAAAGGACTCTGCCTGGCCTCCTCCACTGTCACATCCCCTCAGTTGTCACTGACCCAGCTGCTGTGGCTGCCTCTTGGTCCTTACACACACTGACTTGTCTCAGCCCCAGGGCCTGCACACTCAGGTTCTGACTATTTGGGAGGCTCTTCTTCAGGTTTTTACTGCCTCCTCTAAGTAACTCAGAAGTTGATTTTCATGCCACCTCTTATAAACACCTTTCTCAGCCAGTCATGGTAGCATATGCCTGTAATTCTAGCACTTAGGAGGATTGCCATGAGTTTGGAGCCAGCCTGGATTACATAGTTCCAAGGCTGCTTGGGCTACAGAGTGAAACCCTGTTTCAATTGAGAGCAACAGAGAGAACAAAAAAGAAAAAAGATGCAGAATCTCACCCTCCCCATTCAGTCAGAATCTGCATCTAACATTTAACAAGGCAGCCACACCCCCATCTCAGTGAATCCTCTGTATACCAAAGTTTGGCAGATGCTAAACTCAAGGATCTTTTAAAATGGTTCTAGTGGTTTTGTGAACTGGAAGGCTTGGGAGAACAAAGAGAATGGGACGAGACATTCTTCCCTCCTCCACCTTCTAAAGCAGAAGGCAGATAAACCAAAGATGGGGGCTCCAGATCTTATCTGCATATGATGTTCCTCAGGGACCTTCAAACATTCCCAGTGCTGATCCCCTCCCCAACCCCAGACTGTTATTTGATTGATCTGAGGTGGCTGTAGTCTAGGCTTTAGTGTTTTTCTTTTCTTTTGTCTTTTTCTTTTTTTTCTTTCTTTTTTTTTTTTTTTTTTTTTTTTGTCTATTTGAGACAGGGCCTCCCTGTAGCACCAACTGGCCTGGAACTTGCTATGTAGACCAGGCTGACCTTGAACTCACAGAGATCCACCTTCCTCTGCCTCTTGAGTGCTGGGACTAAAGGTGTGTGCTGCCATGCCCGGCTAGTGTTTTTCTTTTTTAAAAAATGTTTTATTATTTTTTTGTGTATGAGTGTATTACCTGAATGTATGTAAGTGCACCCATGTCATGCAGTGCCCACAGAAGTCAGAAGAGTGTGTTGGTTCCCCTGGAACTAGAATTATAAACAGTTGTTAGCTGCCTTGTGGGTGCTGGGAATGGAACATCAATCCTCTGCAACAACAGCCAGTGCTCTTAACTGCTGAGCCATTTCTCCAGCCCCAACTTTGGAATTTTTCAAAACTCCCCAGGAGACACAATGACAGGGTGGTTTGGTTGAAACTGCACTTTAGACAGGCTTTGCATCTTGCATGTTTGCCTGTAGATATTAGGGATACGGTAGAGGCTAAGGGGTTTGGGTGAATTTTTTCTCTCTGAGGAATTTGGAAAATAGTTATCAACTGAGCTTGTCACAGATGTGTGAGCAGAAAACAGCTAGTTGCTTTTGGCTGTGGATGTGTGCAAAGCATCGGTACAATTGGTTTTAGAACCTTGAGGCTGGAACTACCCCCACTCCTGTGGTTGGCAATGGAACAGAAATGTGCCATTTACTCACCCACCTTAGAAAGACCTTCATTGGGGGTTGGGGATTTAGCTCAGTGGTCGATCGAGCGCTTGCCTAGCAAATGCAAGGCCCTGGGTTTGGTCCTCAGCTCCGGAAAAAAAAAAAAAGAATGACCTTCATTGATGAAGGTGGGAAAGGAAAGACCATCCAGCACCTGGTACCCAGATATCATTTGTGGGAATTTCTTTTCCTTTTTTTTTTTTCTTATTTGAGACAGGGTCTCCCTGTAGCCCCAGTTGTCCTGGAACTATGTAGACCAGGCTGGCCTTGAACTCACAGAGCCCCCTGCCTCTGCCTCCCAAGTGCTGGAATTAAAGGCGTGCACCACCACGCCCAGCTTCTTTTCCTTTTTTTTTTTTCTTATTTGAGACAGGGTCTCCCGGTAGCCCCAGTTGTCCTGAAACTATGTAGACCAGGCTGGCCTTGAACTCACAGAGCCCCCTGCCTCTGCCTCCCAAGTGCTGGAATTAAAGGCGTGCACCACCACGCCCAGCTTCTTTTCCTTTTTTTTTTTTCTTATTTGAGACAGGGTCTCCCGGTAGCCCCAGTTGTCCTGAAACTATGTAGACCAGGCTGGCCTTGAACTCACAGAGCCCCCTGCCTCTGCCTCCCAAGTGCTGGAATTAAAGGCGTGCACCACCACGCCCAGCTTCTTTTCCTTTTTTTTTTTTCTTATTTGAGACAGGGTCTCCCGGTAGCCCCAGTTGTCCTGAAACTATGTAGACCAGGCTGGCCTTGAACTCACAGAGCCCCCTGCCTCTGCCTCCCAAGTGCTGGAATTAAAGGCGTGCACCACCACGCCCAGCTTCTTTTCCTTTTTTTTTTTTCTTATTTGAGACAGGGTCTCCCGGTAGCCCCAGTTGTCCTGAAACTATGTAGACCAGGCTGGCCTTGAACTCACAGAGCCCCCTGCCTCTGCCTCCCAAGTGCTGGAATTAAAGGCGTGCACCACCACGCCCAGCTTCTTTTCCTTTTTTTTTTTTCTTATTTGAGACAGGGTCTCCCGGTAGCCCCAGTTGTCCTGAAACTATGTAGACCAGGCTGGCCTTGAACTCACAGAGCCCCCTGCCTCTGCCTCCCAAGTGCTGGAATTAAAGGCGTGCACCACCACGCCCAGCTTCTTTTCCTTTTTTTTTTTTCTTATTTGAGACAGGGTCTCCCGGTAGCCCCAGTTGTCCTGAAACTATGTAGACCAGGCTGGCCTTGAACTCACAGAGCCCCCTGCCTCTGCCTCCCAAGTGCTGGAATTAAAGGCGTGCACCACCACGCCCAGCTTCTTTTCCTTTTTTTTTTTTCTTATTTGAGACAGGGTCTCCCTGTAGCCCCAGTTGTCCTGGAACTATGTAGACCAGGCTGGCCTTGAACTCACAGAGCCACCTGCCTCTGCCTCCCAAGTGCTGGGATTAAAGGCGTGCACCACCACGCCCAGCTTCTTTTCCTTTTTTCTGGTTTATGTTTTTGTGAGACAGAATTTTATGTAGGCCAGGTGGGTTTTGAACATGCTAGATAGCCAAATCACTCTGAACTCCTGATACTCCTGCCTCCACCTCCTAAATTCGGGGATTACAGGTGTGTACCACCAAGCCCAGCTCATCCATAGTAATTGCTAAGTCAGCTGCTTCTCCATACAAAACTTAACTTCCCTCTTAATGCCTAGGGGAAGCATGGAAAGGTAGTGGGAAAAGATGGCATGAGGCCACAAAGCATTATGATTTCCACAACAGGATTTTTTTGTTTGTTGGTTTGGTTTGGTTTTCTGGACAGGGCCTCACTGTGTAGCTCTGGCTGGAACCCACTATGTAGACCAGGCTGCCTTCAAACTCACAGAGACCCACCTGCTTCTGCTTCCTGAGTGCTGAGATTAAAGGCATGTGCCACCATGCCTAGCTTCTTCAAGACTCTGTAGTTGCTTTCATGAATCACCAAAGGGTTCTCGGGAGAAAAGTAAATCCAGAGAGTGGCAAACAGTGTCATGAAACTCAGTGCTGAGAAAGCTAAGGAGGAGGAGGAACAGAGGACGTAGGCTGTGAGGCAGAAAGGCCCATAAGGGTTCATGGAGCTCCCACACAGAGCAGGCTGCTCTGAAGGGGCCACAGCCCCTGCCACTAGTCCTTCCCTGCTGCCCTCCTGAGCTGTCTTGCCTTGATTTGGTATATGCTTTCTTCACTTCTTATCTCAATTGTGTAGGGACCACCTGGGCTTCCTGGCAAGACAGGACCAAAGGGAGAAAAGGTATGAGCCATGACTTCTTCTCCCACCTCTGTTTGGTGACTCCAGCCTGCTTTATGATTGTGCCACTAAGAATGTTCTGGTTAAGTTTTCAAAAATATGTGCTCACTCTGCCTTAGCTGGTGAGGAGGGACCCTTGATGAATGGTTGCAGCTGCGGTGGGGATGCTGTTGGTGTGGCCTAGCTTGGCTTACTGGCACAGCCAGGTGCTATGACTGACCAAGTGACTAGCTGATCAACTGAGCCAAACTCATGCCCAGTCTTCAGTTTTCTGAATCTAGAACCTCTCTTCCAAAGCAGCTCCTATTCACCTGTCTTCTCCATTCACAGGGGGAGCTTGGCCGCCCAGGAAGGAAGGTATGGTCCATGCTATTCCATCAGCGTCTCATGGGCAACTGTGCTGCACATGTGTTGAGAGAGAGAGAGAGAGAGAGAGAGAGAGAGAGAGAGAGAGAAACACACTCCAGGGATGGGGACCAGCAGCACCCTTCAATTGCCACCATGACCCTGGTGGACAATGTTGGTGCTGCCCTCTCTCTGATGACACGGTGTGCTTGCCCTTTCTGCCAACACTTTGGTTGAGAGCTTGAGCCTACAGCCACTAGGCATCTGGACACATTCCAGGATTGGCCTAGTCACAGTTCCCCAGCCTCATCCTGTCACCCTCCAGGGAAGCCCTCCAAGCCCCCAACCCCCATACAAAATGACCCTTACTACCTACTTGGTTAAACCAGAATAAAGCGCCTGAGCAGTGGCAGCCAGTATCGCTGTGGTCAGTGGATACTGGCACTTAAGGTTTAGGTCTTGCTTGTGATTGTAGACTCTGAGAAAGATGCGAATTGCTTTGAATACAAGTTATTATATTCATGTTTTATTACGAAAAGCCTTAAGCATATAGACCTTTGCAAGGTACAGTTGACAAGGCCAGCCACAGTATAGTGACTGTGTGAAGTGCTGGACTAGAAAGGATTCTGTGATGATCCCCATGCTCAGATAGAAGGGCCATGTTGATTAGTAATGTCTGCCGTGAGTTTGGGAGGCACAAGTAGAAATCAGTGCAGGTATCAGCCTCTGACATCTCTGAGCCCTTGGCTGAAACCTTGCGTTCCTAGCTAACTGTGTAGTGAGGGTGTGGAGATCAAGACAGACCCCTAGTCTGTACTCTCACTCTTTGACAGAGCTTGTTTTTACATAGCCCTTGGTTTGTGTTGGGGTCTATGGAAGCAGAGACGTACACGTAATACACCATGAATAAATAAGTAAATAGGAAGTCAAGAGGAGCTTGTAAAGAGGGGTAAAGGAAATCAAGCAAAGGTTTAGTGTGAGGTGAAGTCCAACTTCAGCAGCCTGAACCTGGGGGTGTGGATTGCCTGGCAGCTTGTTTTTCCTTGATGCTTTGATGGTAAGAGATCTGGGCTGTTGGCTGCAGGATGGGGAGGTTCATAGGTGACTGGGCAGCACCAGTGCCCCAAAGCAAACTCTGTGGTTGCAGGCTATGGGAAGCTTTGGTAGCAGCCACCAGGGTAGCCACTGAGGGATGGTGCTCCATGGAGCAAAAAGCCCCCTAGGGAGTACCAACAGCATCTGGTGCTGCTCCCCTCAGAGTCCCAGCTCACCTCACAGCATGACCCACCAGGATACAAGACACTGGGGCCAGGGGATAGAGGTGCTGAAGACTGAAAAGCAAAGAAGTTTAGAATCCTGTCCTATTTTTTTGTTGCTGTGATAAAACACCATGACCAAAAACAGCTAGGAAGGAACAAGTATATTTCATCTTACACCATCATCGCAGTCTATCACTGAGGGAAGTCCGGCAGGAACTCAAAGCAGGAACTGAAGCAGAGACCATGGAGGAATGCTGCTTATCGGCTTGTTCCCTCTGATCTGTTCCCCCTGACTTTCTCAGCTACTTTTCTTACACTGCCCAGGCTCATCTGCCTAGGGATGGCACTGTCCATCCTACATCAACCAGCAATCAAAAAAATGCCCCCCACATGCTCACAAGCCAATCTGATGGAGGTAATTCTTCAGTTGAGGGTCCCTCATTACCATACAATGTCTCTACTTTGTATCAAGTTGACAAAAACTAACCAACATAAATCCCTTATCTCACTGTCCTCTATTAAGTAGGATAAAACCTTACTCAGTGATACACTATGACACCAAAAATCAAACATATCTGTTTGCCACAAGTTTTTAGGCCCTCTCTGTGGGTTACGGATGAAGGGATGAAGGTCTGGAGGACCATGTTTAGAGGACCTATACTTTTATCCAGGCCCCATATATTCTTGGCTGAAGGGAAGCAGACCCAGGTGTCCTGACTTTTGTTCTTGGTTTTTGAAGGGTAGACCTGGCCCCCCAGGTGTTCCTGGCATGCCGGGGCCCATTGGCTGGCCAGGCCCTGAAGGACCTAGGGTAAGTATCATATGGCTTATAGTGTCAGAGGGGGGAGGATGGTTGGCTCCTGGTCCCTGGCACACAGTCAAGCACATCACTTCCTTAAGACGGGGGAGGAGACCTAGAGGACAGCTTCCAGACCCCAAGAGCTTCTTCCTTCGTGTGATCACAGCAGACCGTGGTCAGTGCCTTGACTGCCTCTGTGGAGAGGCGGGGGCTATGCCCTTCTTTCTCAGGCCTCTGCTTCCTCTTTATCCTGAGAATTAGCATGCTAGTCTTGGTTCCTTTGAGATGACCCAGGGCAACTTGGGTCTGGGAAGCTTTCACCTATCATGCTAATCTGGCAGGTGGAGAGCTGATAGGGTGTTGGTAGGCTGGAAGGATGCAGATCCTGCATTGAGCCAAGAGGTCACCCTCTTCTCAGAAATGTGTGCAAAACAAACATAACCATATCCTCCTTCAGTTTATGTCTTTCTCGCTGCTGGTCACAGACTACCGGGTGCAGAGGCTTCAACTCAGAAATTTTACCTACAGAAGCCTACAGGGCGAGACAGGTGAATGTCACCTACTGCTCTGCCTTGCTGACTATGTTAGGAGAATAGAAAATACCTAAGGAGCTGTGTGTGGTGGCACATGCCTTTAAAGCCTTTAATCCCCACACACAAGAGGCAGACACAGGTGGATCTCTGTGAGACAGAGGCCATCTTGGTCTACCTAGCAAGCTCCAATCCAGCTGGGGCTATAGGGAGACCCTACCTCAAAAAGAAAGAAAAGAAAGAAAAAACAAAACAAAAATCTACTGTATAGGGACTGAAGAGATGATTCAGCCATTAAGAGCACTGGCTATTCTTGCAGAGGACCTGGGTTCATTTCTCAACACTTACATGGCAGCTAATCATCTGTAACTTCAATTCCAGGGGATCCAACACCCTCTTCTGGCTTCTGTGAGCATTGCACAACATGGGTACACTTAACATACATGCAGGCAAAACACTCATACATATAAAATAAAAATAGCTGGGTGTGCATAGCTGGATGTGATGGCTTATACCTATAATCCCAGCACACAGGAGGCTAAGGTAGGATCACCATAAATTAGAGGCAGCCTGAGATACAGAAAAAGTTCCAGGTCAGCCTGTGCTAGACTGAAACTCTGTCTAAACAAAAAGCAAAGCAAAAAGCCCCACTGTATAGACAGAGCCAAGCTGTTCATCATGGCAGCCAGAGCCCTGGAGATGGGGGTAGTATGACCCGGACCCAGAACGATTCATTTGAACTCACCCAAGTTTAAATTTTAAAACCTTTGCTCAGGGCTGGGGAGATGGCTCAGTGGCTAAAGGCCCATGTAGCCAAGCCTGATTACCTGAGTGTAATTCCTGGAACCCATGTGGTTCCAGGAGATAGCAAATTGTCCTCTGACTTCCACATATGTATCCTGATACAATAAATAAAATGTAATTTAAAAATCTCATCAATAATTTTATATTGAGTACATGCGGAAGTGACAGATTAGCATTAATTAAATATTGGCACCATTAATTTGACCTGCTTAGTTTTATATTTAATATGACTTCTAAAGACATTTAAAATTCAGTATAGCCAGGCATGATGGCACATGCCTGGAAGCTCAGCACTTGGGAAGTGAAGACAGGATCATCAGGAGTTCAAGGTCATGTCATCTTCACCTACATGGTGAATTGGAGGCCAGCCTGAGCTATATAAGACCCTGCCTCGAAAAACAAAAACAAAAAAATTAAACAAAAAAATCAGTTTAAGCCGGGCGTGGTGGTGCACACCTGTAGTCCCAGCACTTGGGAGGCAGAGGCTGGCGGATCTCTGAGTTCAAGGCCAGCCTGGTCTACATAGTGAGTTCCAGGACAGCTGGGGCTACAGGGAGACCCTGTCTCAAAAAGACCAAAAAAAAAATCAGTTTATAGTCGACCTTATATTTCTACTAATTAGTGGTGGTATGCAGTTTTTTAGTATAAAGAATATTTAAAGTTCAACTACAACTTATTCTGAGGAACAACAGAATGCACCGTAAGTGTTAACCATCTGCCTCCATGGTCCATTCCAAGAGGCTGATGTACACTCTACTTGGCAGGAAACTGAGGGTAAGAGTGCCTGGAGACTTCTGGAAGGCCCTCCCTATGCAAAAAGCAAAGCAGGCTAAGATTTTATGTTGTGATACCCTGTTTTCTGAGGCCCTGGTGCCCTCATGTCTTCTCCCCTGCCCTCTCATAACCATTTTCAGGAAAAGATCAAGTATCACCATTTACAGCATCGTAGTGAGTATTTACTTTGGAGGTCTGTTCCACCTTGGGCATTTTCATTCTCTACTTAATCTCAAATACCACAGTGAAAGGTGGAATATGGATCCTTGGGCCCCTGGGAGGGGGCAAAGGGACATATGGGGACCTTAGATTCACAATCCAACCCCAGTATCCCTAGTTCCATCCCAAGCTTGCCCGTGACTCCTGTTTCAGTTCAAAGAAATGTCACTGTGGGTCTTCCTTTCCATCTTCTGATTGCCACAGGGTGAAAAAGGCGACCTGGGTATGATGGGCTTGCCAGGGTCAAGAGGACCAATGGGCTCTAAGGTCAGTGTGTGGTCAGATGGACTTTCCCAGGCCTTCTCACTAATACTTTGGAGCAGCTGCTGTCTTCAAAGATGGGGTGGGTGGGGCTGGGGAGACTGTCACTCAATGCTAGGGTACCTATCTCTACAAGCTCTTTGGGGGACATCATGCCCTGGGATGCAGGGACATAAGGCATGCTGTTCTCCTGAGTTCTCTGGGTCAGGTGTTTGTGGGGGTGAGAAAAGCAATCTTGATTTTAGGCCTGGTATGAATACAACCCTTGACTATATCTTCAGGTTTGATGGTGCAGGTCACTCTAAACTTACAGTGCAGGGCTGGAGAGATGACTCAACAGTTAAGAGCACTGGCTGCTCTTGCAGAAAACCTGGGTTTGGTTCCCAGCACTCACATGGTGTCTAACAACTGTTTGTAACTCCAGTTCCAGGGACTCTGATGCCCTCTTCTGGCTTCCACAGGCATTGCACACATGGTACACTGCATGCAAGCAAAACACTCATAAAATAAAAATTTCAGCATAGATGTGGGGAAGTGGTGAAGAAACCTCAACCCTACCTGAGGAACTATTGGCAGCTGATGGTTGCTGGGAAGGGGAGATTAAATCTCCTTTAAAGGTGAGACTCTTAGTAGGTTGACCAGGCTCCAGTGGATAAACCCATCCTAAGGGCATTTGGAGACTCAGACCTGACTCTGTAGGCATATATATATATATATATATATGCTTACAGAGTCAGGTCTGAGTATATATATCTACCAAGCTCAGTCCCTTCTTGTACCCTTCACACATTTCGTAGAGATTAAATCACATAGTAGTGCAGATATAGGAAGGAATCTAAATGTGTTCAAAATATATTGCATGAAATATGTAAAAATTCAATAAAAAATAAAAATAGAGTACAGTGTGGAGACACTTCAGCACCACCTCAGAGTCCTCTCACTCCTGCGGCACACCCAGAGGCCTTAGGGGCTCATTATAAATGCACTTTTTGCTTTCTTTTAGGGCTACCCTGGATCCAGAGGGGAAAAGGTCAGTGCCTGTTTCTGATGTATCCCACACAGCATGGTCTATGCATAGGTCTAGAGTCAGAAGTGGGTGGAAGGTGCCCAAGTTCTTTAGTCATTAACTGTAACAGTCATTCCCAGATCTTCCTCTGCCCTTCCTGGGTGGATGGGCTGAGGATGACTGCAAAGGGCTCCAGAGGAGGGGCAAGCCTGCTGAGAGATGCTCCCAATGAGATTCATGCTGCTTCCAGGGAGCAGGGGAGCACTTGAGGGCTGGGTAGGAGGGGGGAGCTCAGTCAGCATGGGAATGCTGGAAGAAGGGGCTAGCTGTGTCAGCATGGGAGTGCTGGAAGAAGGGGCTAGCTGTGTCAGCATGGGAGTGCTGGAAGAAGGGGCTAGCTGTGTGCATTCCTTTTCTGGGCGAGCCACCTATCATCTGAGCCTAGAGCTTTATAAAATGAAGGTGTTGACCAAGGGAGCTTTTCAGTTTGAAATGCTCTCCAATCACCACCACCACCACCACCCCATTCTGTCCCACACTAATGCATCTGTTCTATCCTATGGTTTCCTCCTAGGGATCCAGAGGTGAAAGGGGTGACTTGGGTCCCAAAGGAGAAAAGGTAATGGCAAGTCTATGGAAGTGATATGCTATATATAGTAGAAGTGGCAGCCTGCTCCTCCATTGGTGGACGGATGGGCAGCCTTCTTGAAAATGGCTAACCAAGCTCAACCACAGCTTTTCTTGTGATTTCAAGATCGTTACAATATCTTTTCTTTCCACAGGGCTTCCCAGGATTTCCTGGAATGTTGGGGCAGAAAGTAAGTATCTAGAAGTTGTGAGAATAGGCCTTGGACCCTGCAAACTCAGGAAGTGACGCCCCGGCTCTTTGTCCTTCAGGCAGGAGAATTGCTTCAACTGTGGAAGGTTCCAGAATGGGATGGGAAACAGGCTGACTTACATACTGGGGAGAGGGTGGCAGGAAGGTCTGAAACTAATCTCCAGTTCAGTGGGAAAGAAAGGCCTTCCAGATCTAGTGGGGACATCCCTTCTTCTCTTACCTCTTGGAGGCCCATGGCAAGATTCAAAAGCTGGAAATTTTGTGACAAGAAACTCAGATCTGAGCCATAGTAATGAGGTCCCTTCTTAGCTCTCAGGGCCTGGGACAAAGTGGGGACATGTTTGGTTTAGTGTCACTGCTGCCTAAACTCTGAATACAGCCTTCATGGGCAACCATGGAAGTACGTAAGAGTACTTTAACTAGATGACAATTATTTTGTCTAAATAGTGAAATATTTACTAGTATTTTGCTTAGGACAGGCCTAATTTTAAAAGGAATAGGTTTTAGGTAATTAGAGAAAAAATATTTAGTAAATAACAATGGATCTATGTATGTATATAACAAAAATTGTGATGGTGCCAATGGACTAACAGATTTTTGGAAACTTTTGCTTAGGTTTAGGATCTGGAGTACAGTTGGGTGGGAGGTGAGGAAAGACAGAGCATAAAGAGAGAAAGAGAGATGTGTAAGGGCTATTTAAAACAGTCGGGCCTGGTGGTGCACGCCTTTAGTCCCAGCACTCTGAAGGCAGAGGCAGGCAGAACTCTGTAAATTTGAGGCCAACCTGGTCTACGTGGTGAGTTCCAGGCCAGCTGGGGCTATAGGGAGACCCTGTCTCAAAAGAACAAAAACAAAAACACCAAAAAAAACAGTTCCTAAGCTAGCATAATAATGCTGGATCCTTGTGTTGTAGGGCACTGACATTGGAAATTGATATCTTAACCAAGGTCTGAACTGTGATTTTCTTTCTTTTAATAAATATTTTATTTATTATTTTGTGTGTATGCATGTATTGCCTGCATGTAGGTAAGTACACCCGCATTGTGCAATGCCTGCGGAGAACACAAGAAGCTGTCGGATACCCTGGAACTAGAATTACGGACAGTTGTTAGCTGCCATGTGGGTACTGGGAATCGAACCTGGGTCTTCTGCAAGAACAGTTAGTGTTCTTAACCGTTGAGCCATCTCTCCAGCCCTCAACTGTGATATTCTTAAAAGTTCATCTTAAAGTATTACTTTCTAACGTCAACATTTTTTTCTGACTGTATCCAGGCAATAGGGTAGTTTCAGTTATTAGGCACCAAGTACTATGATTTATTACCTTAACCTGTCAGAAACTGTTCCTGTTACCCTAGATGGGCTGCTACATTTTAAAAAGAGATTGATTATATAAGCAAATATTAAAAGAGAAAAGAGCATCCTAAGATATTTAGTTTAGGTTTTCATACACTGCAACAATGAGCATCAAAGACTCATAAATCTCTGGAAAATTAAACACGACAGCTTCTTTGCCTCTGCACCATGGACTAGACCTGGCATTAAAGAAGCTGTGTTCTCCCTTTCATGGCAGGCTGTTCTAAGACAGAGCTGATATAATAACCATAATTAGGAGGAGCGAAATTAGATCAAGGGATTACTGGCTGCTTCAAGTAGATAAAGAGAAGGGCCACACTTCCTTCTGACAATCCTTTAAAAATTCCATACTTCCGGCGTGGTGGTGCATGCCTGTTGTCCCAGCACTTGGGAGGCAGAGGCAGGCGGATCTCTGTGAGTTCAAGGCCAGCCTGGTCTACATAGTTCCAGGACAGCTGGGGCTACAGGGAGACCCTGTCTCAAAAAGACCAAAAAAAAAAAAAAATCCATACTGTTCATACTGTCATGCTGATGTTTTCTCTTCACCGATGTTTTCTGTCACCCTCACACCCTCTCAACAGCCCAGGGGAATCATGCAAACATCTCCATGGCTGCATGGAGTCTATCTTGACCCCTTACACTTTTGCCATCAAGAATCCTGAATAACATGCTAGAGCACACAGACACATAGAACAAGTCTGGTGAATTGGTGGCTTGGGTAGGGACAAATTCATTGTATTGGTTAAGCTAAAAGGTCATTCTGAGTTCTATGTTTGACCCTTGCTATCTAATTAGTATTCTCTGGAATTTTCATTGTGTTAGGCTTCCTCTGAGCACCATAAGAAAAGGATCCTGGGTGTCTATTGGTCTCTCTGAGTAGCTAGGGTGGCCCTTCATGGGCACTGGATGTCGATAAGCAGAAATTTCTATGGTGGCAATTGCTACATTTACCTTGTTTGTGGTGAATTTGGGGATAGGGTGATTGCTAGAAGTAGAAATTGTGCAGCCTGTGGGCTCAGAACCCTCAGAAGCAGTAAGTGTGGTACGAATCCTAGAGGGACAGGGGAAGAAGAAAAACCAAGATGGAGGAATGTTTTTCAATTTATGTGGAGGTCAGAGGACAACATGTGGGAGTCTGTTCTCTCTGTCCACTGTGAGGGTCCTGGGATTAAACTCAGAGAGTCAGGCTTGGTAGTAAGTACCTTTACCCACTGAACCATCTCACTGCTTGAGAAATGAGTTTTGGGGTCTTTTTGAGACAGGGTCTCCCTGTAGCCCCAGCTGTCCTGGTACTCACTATGTAGACCAGGCTGGCCTTGAACTCACAGAGACCCACCTGCCTCTACCACCCGAGCGGGATTAAAGGTGTGCGCCGAGAAATGAGTTTTTAAAATGGTTGCCCTTGAAATATGAAAGAGTTATTTTTAACTAGGAATATAATTTACAATGTTTTTCCATGCTTTTTATAACAATTATATTGAATATTTGGACACATATTTGAAATATCTCTCTTCACAAAAAGGGTTTTTACCCGAGATGGTCATAGTGGTACATGCCTACAACTCTAGCACTTGTAGGATATAGGCAAGAAGATTAGGAGTTCAAGGTCATTTTTAGCTATATAGAGAGTTTGAGGCTAGCCTTGGTTATAGGAGACCCTATCTTAAAAAAAAAAAAAACAAAAAGCCAGGCATGGTAGTGCACACCTTTGATCCTAGCACTTAGGAGGCAGAGACAGGCAGATCTCTGTGAGTTCAATGCCAGCCTGGTCTATATAGGGAGTTCCAGGACAGCTGGGGCTATGGGGAGACCCTGTCTCAAAAAGACAACAACAACAAAAAAATGGAAACCAAGGTAGTGTTTACTAAAGAGTGGAGAGCTATTGTAACCCTAAGGGCCACGAAATGATTCCAGAGATTACAAAATTACCCAAATGTTTTATAGCCAAAACTACCCAAACATTAAAAACCAACTCATATATTTGAATTGTGCTAAAAACAAAGCACAACAAATCTCAATGCAAAATTTCAACTAGACAAAAAAGCCTTTTCTCAGTCCATAGTGACACAGGCACATGTATGACTGAAAGGCAGATGCCTCCCCTGGCCACTGTGGATGGGCTGTCACTCATTTGACCACCAGAATGCCTCCTGCTCCAGTGATAAGTCACACAACATTACTATCTTTCTTCTCTGTACCTTAAACATGACCTCATCAGTCTCCCAGGCTCCAAGTCAGTCTACCTGGAGAAGATTTGGAATGATTACATAGCCCTGGTGGCCAGTGATTGGGCATGGATGTGCCTGCTTACCTATTCAATCCTTGCTTGTTTCTCTTTTCCCCAGGGTGAAATGGGTCCAAAGGGGGAACCTGGGCTAGCAGGACACCGAGGACCCACGGGAAGACCAGGAAAACGAGGCAAGCAGGTAAGCAGCCCAGGGTTCAGAATCCCCACTTCGGTAACATCTCCTGACTTGGAGATGTGTAGAGAGGCATACAGGGTCAACTAGAGATGTTCCATGGCCCCACATTCAAGCATCTTTGGGGCAGTGGACAGAGCAGCCTCAATTCTGGGACCTGCAGGCTTCTGACTAGCCACAGTTCAAGGGATCTGATCTAGAACACCCCATTCAAAGCCAGAAGCAAGAGAGGTTCTGGCTCAGAAATGCATCTGTTGGAACCAAAGCAACTTGAAAATGGAAGGAAGATGAGGTCATTATATAGAAAACCTTCCTTGTCCTCTGTCCTGGATGTGAAGACTTTCAAGAGAACAGTTCAGATGCTTCCCTACTTCTTAGAGGTCTTCTGGGCTCAGTGACAGAGTGGTTTCCCCCATACAGACCGCTAATTTGAAAGTGATCCTTTCTTTTCATCAGGGTTGCTAAGTGCTTAGAGAAATTGTTAACTTTGAGCCCCCTGTCAGCAGGCTCTTAGGCTAAGCCAGTGATATGGTTGAGAAAGGAAGAGGAAGGCTCATTTGTATGGGCTGGTTTAAGACATGCACTAAGTGCCACAGGAAAACTGGAGTTTTCTGGATGGACAGATGTTCCTGAGAGATGTACCAAATCACCTTTTTTGAAAAAAGACATGTTCTCCCTGTATAGGTCTCCCCAGGATGGCCTTGATCTTTGTCCTAGTTATTTTCTATTGCTGTGGTAAAACATTGACCAAAACCAACTTGGGGAGGAAAGGGTTTATTTGCCTTACAGCACAGTCCCGTTGTCAAGGGAAGTCAAGGCAGGAACTCAGGGTAGGAACCTGGAAAAAGGAACTGAAGCACGGACCATGGAGGAACACTGCTTACTGTCTTGCTCCCCTGGCCTGTGCTCAGCCTGCTTTTTTATATAACACGGGACCACCTGCCTAGGGGTGGTACCACTCACACTGGGCTGGGCCCTCCTATCCAACAATCAAGAAGATGCTCCACAGACATGGCTACAGGCCAATCCAATGGAGGAAATTCCTCAGTTTCAGTTCCCTCTGCCCAGGTGTGTCAAGTTGACAACAGACGCTCTCCAGCACGGTCTTAGTATGTCTACATTAATTTTTTTTGTCAGTTTGTTGCCTTTCTATTTCAAAAAGATATCTTAAAAATTCAGCCCTATTTGGTGTGTAGGTGATAGCTCAGTGGGTAAAGTGCATCCTGTGCAAACATGAGGCCCTGAGTTTGATCCCCATCACCCTGATATAAAGCCAGCACTGGGCAGGCAGAGAGACAGAGGATCCAGGGGGCTTGCCCAGTCAGTCTAGCTGAATTGGTGAGCCCCAGTGAGACCCTGTCTCAAAAAATAAGATGGAAAGTAATAGAGGAAGAGACATAATACCCACGTGTGGCCTCTGCTTGCACACCCACCCACACAGATGTACACGTAAGTTAACTTTATTTAATTTTTCTAATTTTTGAAATTGATGTATATGAATATGTATACTTGTAATACTGGATTTTAAAAATTTTTTATTGATTCCAGAATTTCATACAGTATATTTTGATCATATTCAGATCTCTCTCCACATAATACTTGTTTTTTAATGTTAATTATTTTGAATATGTTAGAAGAAATGTCATTTTCAGCATATATATTAAAGCAGTTTAAAATTTTATTTTTAATTGATGTTATATTTTATGGAATATGCTATGATGTTTCAATACATATACATTGCAGAGTAATCAAATCAGGCTAATTAATGTAACAATCACCTCAAATATTGTTTCTTTGTGGTGAGAATATTTAAAATCCATGCAGTTTCTTGGCTTTTTTTTGTTGTTGTTTCTTTGCTTTTTATCTCCCTCCTGTTGGTGGTTATGGTTGTATCTGGGTATTATAGCCTTCCAGAATTCTTTCTTCTTTTTTTTTCTGGACAGGGTCTCACTCTATAACATTGGCTGTCCTGGACCTCACTATGTAGACCAGGCTAGTCTAGAACTGACAGAGATTCTGCCTGCCTTTGCCTCTGGAGTGCTGGGATTAAAGGCATCATGCCTGACTTTCTTTTTATTTTTTGAATTGTTCATTTCTTGATTTATCTTGGACAGGAGATATGGTGTTTCTAGGCCACATTACAGTTATACCTGAATAAATAATCAGCTTGACTCTTAACACTAGTTTTTTGGGGGGGTTTTGTTTTGTTTTGTTTTGTTTTATTTTTTTGTCTTTTTGAGACAGGATCTCCCTGTATCCCCAGCTGTCCTGGAACTCACTATGTAGACCAGGCTGGCCTCGAACTCACAGAGATCCATCTACCTCTGCCTCCCGAGTGCTAGGATTAAAGGCATGTGCCACCATACCTGGCTCTTAACGTTAGTTTTAAGGCCAAGGTTAGACCTGAGCTCTGAGACACCTGTTCATTCTGATGTCTCATGGATCTGTACTTGCAAGCCAGGCCTACCCATACATTTATTCAAGACTCTCTCCAGCAACATCTAGACCTAGAAACTTGGATCCAGACAATCTTGCCCTTTAATCTCTAAGCCTGAAATCACATGCAATGTCAAACAGACTTCTCAATTCTTCTCAGTGTTTCCAGTGAGAAAGACAAGCAATTCTTGCAGCACTTTGATAGGATAATTCAGGCACACCCACATTCATTCACTATCTGGGGTGGAGGGCAAAGTGGGGTCTGAGGGATTAAGGTCAGATGTCAGATGGACAGGTCACCAGAGGAGCACAAAGCTCAGTGAGCTTGTTTACATTATAAATAGTAGCTTTAAAAAAAATGTGTATGAGTGTATTGCCTGCATGTATGCAAGTGCACCCCTGTCCATGCAGTGTTTGTGGAGGACAGAAGGTGTCAGATCCCCTACAACTGGAGTTACAGACAGTTGTTAGCTGCCATTTGGGTCCTGGGATTCAAACCCAGGTCACCTGCAGGAACGGCCAGTGCTTCTAATTGGTGAGCATCTCTCCAGCCCCAAACAGTAGTTTTTTAGTGCAAGTTTAAGTAAGAGTCATTAGTCCAGATTCTGTCCATACTATAAAAGTCATTCCTACTGGGAGAGACCCATCCAGATCATATATAATGCTGGACATCTTTGGTAGTATAGCCTTTTCCATTCTGCTGATTATTTCCTGAAGCCTAAGCAAGGTTCTCAGATGTTAGCTTATGTCAGAATCATCAGGGGTTGACTGGATACAGCTTCCCCAACCAGCTACAGTGGCTGGTCTTACTTCTCAAAAACATTAGTACAGTTGACCTAGAATGGGCCTTCCTCATGGGTGGTGTGTTGTATTGAAGCCACCCATGAAATTCTAATGTGAAGCCAGAGTTCAGAATGACTCTGGTAGTACTGTGAAGCTAATGATGATGTGTAAGTCAATTTAGAAGTGACCCGGCTCCACTCTGGAAAATTCAGACCTCACAATAGCATTGCTTTTGTTCCTGTTTTTAGTTTCATAATAACTTTAGAAGTCACAAAATTTCAGTCTCATTTTGACAATTGCACAGGGTGGCATGGTCAGATGGTGTCACAATGATGCCACAGATGCTAATTTCCTTAAATCTAGGCTCAGAAAACAGAAAAAAAAACAGGGGGCAGGGAGAAGTCATTACATTATTCTAGAGTGTTTTAAATTCATACATGAAGGAGCTGTTAGCTTCTGCTGTCCAGATCTTTTCTGGGGCGGCATTTGTCTTTTCTGGGAAAGCAGAGCCAAGTAGGCTGCTTTTTTACCCTACTGACATCAGTTCTGTTGGAGTGATACTGAGAGCTACACCAAAACCACTGGAGAAGGCCCAGAGGAGTCAGGGGAAGGACCTCATCCTTCCTACAAGATTCTGTAGCCCCCTGCGTGCATTGCACAAACTTGAGTTGTTAGCCTTGTAAGCCTGCCTTGGTGCTTCCTTTGTATCATGAATTCGCTTTCTGGTATAGAGTCATACATACATCCAGCATTTGCTGGGCCAGCAGGACTTTCTAGAAGTGACTGTAAGTTAACCCAAAACCAGGAAACAAAAATTCAGGATTTCAGACTACAGTTTCCAACAGAGAGGGATTTTAGAGACCATTTTAATCCAACCTCCCTCATTTATTCATAAGAAAACTGAGGGTCAGGGAGATGGGGTTGCTTGCAAAACCGTTTAGCTAAACCAACTTCAAAGTTAGAGTTAGAATTTGGGGCATGTGACCATTCCCCCACTTTACTAGCTCCTCAATATCACTTCTAGACTTGCCTCCAGGCAGGTCCAGGAAAGCAGCTGTTGATTTTATAGAACCTTCAGGGGCTGGAGATGTAGCTCAGTGGTAGAGGACTTGTCTAGTGTGCACAAGGCCCTAGGTTTGATTCCTAGCATCACAAAAAGAAAAAAAAATCTGTAGTTAGGAAGACAGAACAACTTCCTCAAGAGAAGTCTCACCACTTATCCAAATAAGGGATAAGGAATTTGCTTCCTGGAAAGTTCTGTTCAGTGAGGCCCACACTAGAAATATGGCACCTTCTGGGTGGTGACCCATAACTGGAAGATTCTTCTACTGCTGGTGTCAGAGTGAAGGCACATTCGCAGTTCCTTCAAGCCATGCACTTCCTGTGCCCAGAGCTAGCTGGCATGGCTGCTAGAAAACAAGCCTTACCCTGGCTATATTAAGCTGGTGTGACTTCCTTTGCCATTTTGACACCCATCTTGGTCACTTTGGAATGCTTCAGCCTGGACTGAGGATTAGCAACCTTCTCTGTGAGGGTGGAATTGGAAACAAACTGACCTCATGGCCTCCTCTCTGAGGGTGGAACTGGAAGCGAGCTGACTTCATGGGTCCCCTGGGACAAGCTTAGGAACTCCTTGGGCCATGTTGGAAGGACAGCACCTCAAGTGTCAGTGTTATGGTTGGAAATGGCTTTCACTACAGGTGTGACTCTCTTAAAAGAAAATCAGGACTTCTTGGGTGTGAGGGGATCTAGCTGGGACACTTGTCACCCCATTGGGTCACCATGGTTGATTTGGCTGATCTGGCCGTGAGCGGTTTGACCCCTTCCTCCCTCAACAATCCATGTGTGTCCCTTCCAAAGCTGTGTGATTGGTTAGCGAGGATGACTTTCTGTCGTGACCTTCTCTAATAGGGAACTGTTCTTAGGTCAAGGGTACATGAGTAGCTATGTTTCCTGCCAGAACCTCCAGAAAGCTCTCAGAAAATCAGGACTTCTTTCCCTGTGGGAGAAGATGAAGCCAGGCCAGTCACTGGAACAATCAGCTTGTTCCCCACAACCCTTCATTCTGTGTAAACCACATTTTCACCTGTATAATCTTTGTTAGTCTTACAACAAACCTATGTAGGAATGTGTTTACTGGCTTTAGAGAAGATAGAACTGAGACTCAGGGATGGAGAGATGGTTCAGCCTCTGCTCTTGGCACTTGCTGCTTGTGCAGAGGACCCAGTTTGATTCCCAGCACCCACATAGCGGCTAACAATGTCTCTAACTCTAGTTCCAGAGGATCTGACACCCTCTTCTGTCCTCCATGGGCATTGCACAACACAGGTGCACTTACATACATGCAGGCAATACACTCATACACATAAAATAAAAACAATAAATAAAATATTTTTTAAAAAACTGAAGCACAAAGTGATGACATGAGTTACCCAGGGCCTCACTGCCAAGGTGAAATCTTTGGCTAACATATCATCAAACTCTTCCTCATGAGTTCACCAGCTTCTTACTCCTCCATTTGGTCTGACCAAAGAAGGTGAACATGGTAGAGTCTAGCCACATGTAACATATCTCATAGAGAGACAGTGATGAAATGACCACACAATACTCTATGTTCAGTAATCTGGGATAAATGCTTGGAAAGGTCCAGGGGTGTGTTTGGGGAGTGGAGTGTATTTGTTGTTTGTTTTTTGAAACTGAGTCTCAAACTGTAGCCCAGGCTGGTCTAGAACTAGAACTCACTGTGTAGCCTGGGCTGGCCTCAAACTAGCTGCAGTCCTTCTACCTCAGCCTGCACCATTACGTCCAGCTTGAAGAAGCAAGTTTGGAAAGAATGTGATGGGAACATCAACTCAGACTGGGAAGATTAAGGAAGGCTTTACTGCTAAGACATAGGAGCTGAGAACTGAAGGCAGAGGGGTGCGAAGAGGAGTTTGGGGCAGAGAGAGAAATTGTGAGAAGTAAGTAGGTCAAGAGTCATGGTGTTCCTGACTAAAAAAAAAAAAAACAAACTGAATCAAGACTGGAGGGACGAGCCATGTCCAGTTTCTTAGGCTGAGTAATGGGCTGGATCTTTACCCAAAGAGCAATGGGAAGCCAGTGGGTGGAAACAGCTCTCATGACAGAATGAAAGAGATCCTAATAAGCAAGCTAATGCCTGAACTCAGTCAACTGGGGGACTTGCATAAATCCTGCTCTCTCTGAGACTTTGTTACCTAACCTGTTCCAGGGGATGAAGTGGCTTGGTTCTGTTCTCCTGTCCAGTGCCATGTTTCTAGAACAGAGCAAGAGCTTAATGAGGTCTGCAAACTCACAGTGGTCAGTTACAGATGTCATTTACCCTGACTTATCTATTCTGGGTGATAGAGATTAGTGGGGCTACATCCTGTTGTGAGCTTTTGCTACTCTGGACTAGGTGGTCCCTCATTTTAAAAACAAGTAGGGAAGGAACTTTGCCATGTCATAAAATCACAGCAGGCTCTGCTTTTCTCTCTGTCAGGGACAGAAGGGAGACAGTGGAGTTATGGGCCCACCTGGCAAGCCTGGGCCTTCTGGTCAACCTGGCCATCAAGGTCCTCCAGGGCCCCCAGGCCCCCCATCTGCAGGTAAGAGCTATGCGGTTGCATTCAGTTTACATAGTTGCTCTCCAACTAGGCTCTGCAGAGAGGCCACGGGGATCCAGCAGATCTCTGCCTTGTATCTCCTGTTAGAAACTGCCAGAGGCACTTAGATGCATCTTCATAATTTATGATTTGACTCACTCACCTCTGTTTTAACATTTTGGAGAATACACAGAGGAAGGACAAAGGGGGTGAATTACATTGGTGATGCCCCTTTAGTAAAAAGGGGACATATTTCATCAATTAACATCTTTTTCTATAAAAACATGTTTCATAACTCTAAACAGTATCTTAAACCCAGAAGTTGAGAAGGTATTACAGATTTTTCTTACCCAGTGTGATAAAAGATTATTGTTGCATTATTCTGGATATATTGGAAGGAACTGCTAAAAAAGAAATCAAAAGTCTATCATTGAAGAATAAATAGGTATGTTTCAGTATCATCTTACCTGCTAAATTTGATTAGTCAAGCCCTTATTTCGGTCCTTTGTCAGCTCAATGTAAGCCTTCTGAGTACATGACCTGCATAAAGACAGCCTTTCCAGGTTCATCAGCTATATAAAAGGAATCACACTTCTAATTACAACTTTTTTCTTAAGAAAATGGAAACATTTAAAAATCCCACAGTGTACTGGGAACCATGTTTAAGGGAACATGCTTGCTGCTGCATCATAGGGTGGCAAGAAATAATCCCATTCTGTTTAAACAGAATGAAAGGAGACTCAGACTCCAACCTGTCGAGATGCCAGAAAGAATCAATCTTAGGCATTCTTTGGATTTTCTCTGCCTTTCCAACTGCCACAAAAGTGTTGAGTGATGATCCTGGTGAATAATGAGAGGAAAATATTGGGAAAGGTCCCTCCTACCTTTGATCCCCTCTTTGTCCACCTGTTATCCAAGTTCATGGTCCATGGATGTCTGAGGACCACTGCCTTCAATCTGTGCTTGGGCATCACATTTCCAAGACTGGGAATCCCTGGAACCCCATGGTCATGAGTTGCTAACCAGAGACTGACAGCAGGACAGAAACCTGGCCTTGCCTATGGAGAGGACTCTCTTGGGCCTTGGAGTGTGCAACGGCTCAAAAACAGGTGGTGGGGGTGGAAAATGGGGTGTTAGATGCATAAGGAGGTTGTTGGCAAACTGAGACCTTAATGGTCCTGTTGTGTTTATCCGTCTTTGTAAAGCCTTGTCCTCACCTAACCTTGGATTTCCTCTTGGGCTTGGGCCTGGGGTTAGGCAAGAAGGCTGGGGCCTGGGGTCTGTGGGCAGTTCCTAAGAAGGCCATGTTTTGTCCAGTCAGTGTTGGAGATTGCATCCCAACCACTTTAACAGTCACCTAGTTCTGGTAGGTAGAATACACAGAGACCGGTCCCTACAGGGTCATCTCTTCAGACCGATGTTCCCTCCCTATACCTTCCCTTTGCGTTGCTTCCTTTTTGTGGAGCCACCCAGAATGCCAGAGCTGAAGAGGACAAGGAGGAGAGTGGGGCAGTCTCCTTGCTCTTAGTGAAAGTCTCGGGGTTGGAAGCAGAGCGTTCAGATGGGACATCCCTGTGTTTAATTCCAGTTGGATAATCATCCAGAGTTGGAACAGGCCTCGAGTGACTCCCTGGGGGACCTTTGGGAATCTAATAAAAGCCCCAGACTTTCCAGGTATCATGACCCAGCCTGTTATCCCAGCAAGAGGATGGAAAGTTCTAAGGCCAGCTTAGACCTTGTCTCAGAAAGAAAGAAACAAAACCCACAAAGCCATTCTTAGGAAGAAAATGAATCCTTTGCCCTGCCCTAAATCCATCTTGAGATGTCCTTGGGCTCCAAGAGCACATGTTAAAGTCCCCTAGTTTATCCCAATCCTCCTTTGTCTAAGAACCTTGAGCTTCTGCAAGGTCACAGAACTGACTGTGGCCTCTGTGGTCCAGATTCCGTCTGTGGCTCCTAAAAGCCCCACACAGCCTCAAGATTGTCATACTGCTTCCTCTGCCTTCTCCACATTCCCCTCTCCTGACTAGCTCCTCACAAGAGGCTCCTGGATAAAATGAAGAGCAAGGTCCTCACACCACAGGGGTGACAGTGAGGTTGAGGTGGGGGAGTTCGGGTTGCTATGCCCTTCAGTACAGCCTGGCAAGAAACTGGCAGGATGATGGATGCCCTCTGACAGCTGGGAGGAAGCAGAAGCAGCGGGAAACTGCAGTGGTGGCAGCAGGCACCCCGCCACGTCCTGTCAGGAGGCTAACTCAGGTTCTGCTCAGCACTATGGGGGCCAGCTGGTGCTGGATGAGCTGGAGAGGGTGGGAGCTTTTTAATTACTCAAGTTACAGAGAAAGAGGGGTTGGGGAGTGAGAAGGGAATAAAGGCAAAATGCCTTTCAGATGTAATTTGCAATAATGCAATTACAAATTTGGCTGATTCTTTCCTGCACCCAGACAGGGCATAAGTGAATCAACATGGTACCTGGGAATTGCAGCTTCCTGAGAGCATCTGTATACTTGAGTTATTTTTGAATGGCAGGGTCAGGTCAAGCATGAATTCAAATCTCAGCCATACCACTAATTAGCTGAATAACTGAAAAAAATCCCCAACTCTTTCTGAGACTATGGTTCTGCAGGAATTATGGGGTCACAGAACCTTCCAGAAGGCTGCTCTAATAACACCCCTCTACTCCTCATGACAGAGCACTCCCACCTCTCCAGGTAGAAATTCCTCATGCTCCTCTGGTGTTTACCCAAGAAATTCCTGGGCTGGTAGTATCTTTGTCTCTTTGGGGTCTTCTGAAAATATCAGGATTGAAGACTGGGGCTCTTCCCGTAGACTTCCTATTCCTTCTTAGAGCCATAACTTGGCATCAGATGCTGACAGGTCTCCCACCCCTCCTGCAGCCAGCATTCTGATGTGGAACCAACCGTGAGCCTGCTGAGGAGGATTTAAGGAGGTGGGGTCATTCCCCTGGGTCCCTCCCCCATGTGTGGCCTCTTCACTGTGATCCTGACCAGATCCTCCCTGGGGCTACTTTATTTCCTGCTCTTTCTGGATCTACAAACTCATTCCCAGTTCCTGGCTGCCCCAGCTGAACTGCCTGAAAGCAAGGACCAGCTGGGCTCCTTTTTTGTCCAAGGGGGAGGGACACATGATAGACGGTCTCATTTCAGTTCCACACCGTCCTCTTTTTCCTGTTGAACGGCTTCTGCCCAGCAGTTTATGACTTCTTGTCTTTTCCAAAGACCTTTTCTCTCCAACTAATCATTCAGTCACCAAACATGTACTCTGTTCCAACTCTGGGTCAAGCTCTGGCCTTGGCCTTATAATGCTTACATTCTGCAGGAAGAGAGACCTTGATGGAACAGTCCTACAATATGCAGACTTGTGAGCAGAGCAGAGTACTGTGACAAACAGACATAGGAACTAAGAACCTGCACCTCAGCAGATGTGACAGCATGAGAAGATGTGGGAAGGCTTCTCTGATATTTAATCCCAGAGCAGCAAGCACCTAAGGGGCCCTTGGGGAAGAGAGGCATGGAGGATGAGGAAGAGGTTTTGATGGGTGTCCTAATTTGCTTTCTGTTGCTGTGATAAACATCATGACCAAAAGCAACTTGGAGAAGAAAGGGTTTATTTTAGCTTACAGGTTACAGTCCATCACTGAGGGAAGGCAGGAACTGGAGGCCAGAACCGAAGCAGAGACCATGGTGGTATGCTGCTTACTGGCTTTCTTTGGCTTTCTCGGCCACCTTTTTATACAACCCAGACTCACCTGCCTAGGGATGGCACTGCCCACAGTGAGCTGGGCCCTCCTACCTCAATCAGCAATGAAGAAAATGCCCTACAGACATGTCCACAAGCCAGTCATATGGAGGCAGTTTATCAATTGAGACCCCCACTTCCCGGGTATGTCTAGGTTTGTGTCAAGCTAACAAAAATGGAGAGATGTTCTGTGTGCACACCATTTCCTAGGTCAGTGAGTCTGTCTTAGTGCACACTGGAAACATTTTGAAAACTTTTAAAATTATGGATGTCCAAGACTGGGGTGTGATTCAGTGGAAGAGTACTATCTAACATATGCAAAGGCCTTAGGTTCCATCCCCAGAACTAGAAAAAAAATTATGGATGATGGGCTGGCAATACTTTTCAGGATATGTCCTGACTTTTCTCAGTACCATAGGAGAGTAAGTACACTGAGCATTTATAAATGTAATGTTTTCTTCCAGGAGAAATAAAAGAACCCACATCCAGAAATTCCTCTGTAAATATCTCCTACATAACAAACATAAAAGATAATAAAAGTTGGGCTGGCAAAATGGTTCAGTGGGCAAAGGTACTTGTTACCAAAGCTGATGATCTGAGTTTCGTCCCTAGGTACCACATGGTAGGAAGAGAAAGCCAACTCATGAAAGCTGTCCTCTTATCTCCACGTGTGCCCTGGCACAGCACCCCCTTCTCTCTCTCTCTCTCTCTCTCTCTCTCTCATAAATAAATAAATAAATAAATAAATGCAGTTTAAAAATTTTTAAACAGTAAAAGTTTTCCACCAGCAGCAGATTCATCTGCAAGAAGACCCCTTTGATAATGGTCACAAATAGAGCATTGTTTTTGTACAACAGGGAAATCCAGAGATAAACAACAGATGCCCATTAGTTTGGTTCAGCCTCCACTTTGTGTCACTCAGTGCTTCTGGTCCCATGAACCCTTTGTCTTTCTGAGAGTCGTTATTTCATGGTTCACTATGGCCGCTATAGAATCAGATATCTTGTCTGTCTCCAGGGCACAAGTGAGGGGACACTCTCCTGCTCTTGTTTCTCTCCATATCTCGGCCACACCATGGCTTTGAGCCTCTCCCTCCACACCCTGAAGCACCATGGATTTGCACTTTTGCATGGGTTGTTCCTATCTCCTGACTTGTTTGGCTCTAGTAACACAACACTCTGTGGCTTCACAGGACAACTTGTAATGGGACTCAAAGGGGAAAGAGGATTTCCGGGGCCTCCAGGAAGATGTCTTTGTGGACCCCCTGCAAATGTGAATAACCCTTCCTATGGGGAATCTGTGTATGGACCCAGCTCTCTGCGAGTTCCTGCGGTAAGACTTTCCCGGGCACAGTCTGGGTAGATGTTGAGAATGCTTTCTACCTGGTCCTCTCAGGCCTTTGTGATATCCTTTATTCAAATTCACTTTCCCTGTTACCCTGACTACCCACTCATTATAGGAAATTGCAAAGTAGGGGAAAATCCAAAGAAAACCAAATTGTTCATTTTTATTTTGAAGACTAACTTTGATATGGTTGATTATATTATCTAAAAGTATTGTACTTGGGCAGAGGATGTAGTTTCAGCAGTAGAGTGCTTGCCTAGCATGCCCTGAATTCAGTGCCCAGTACCACTCATCTTTGTGTATAATCATTATTTTATTTATTTATTTTTATTTTATGTGTATGAGTGCTTTGTCTGTGTGTATGAATGTGCACCACATGTGCACATTGCCTGCCAAGGCCAAAAGAGAGCATTAGATCCCTTAGAATTGGAGTTACAGAAGGTTGTTAACTGCCATGTGGGTGCTTAGAACTAAACCCAGGTCCTCTTAACCTCTCAGCCATAGCCCCAAGTATGATCATTTTTTTAAAGAGTCATTTCCAGATATCAAGTTACTTACCTAGGGGATGGAGAGATGGCTCAGCAGTTAAGAGCACCGGCTGCTCTTGGGAGGACTGGGATTTAGTTCTCAGCACCCACATGGCAGCTAACAACTGTCTGTAACTCCATTTCCAGGGTATCTGATGCCCTCTTTTGGCCTTGGCAGGCATTGCATGCACATGATACACATACATACATGCACACAAACACTAATACACATAAAAAATTTTAACTAAAAAATACATACAGCATCATCTTTCAAGTATTAGGAACATATAAAAAACATTTAAACATGTTAAATCAGCATTGATAGTTTCATTTCAAACTTATGCATTATGAACTAGATTGGGCTGGTTTGGGACTCCTGACACTCCTGTCCATTGAGAAGCAGTGTGCCAGTGTCCTTTCCATGATTACCCAACCCAAACAGAGTCTTCTCCTCCAGCTGTCTCTGTCCTATGGGGAAGCTTCTCTGGACCCTTACTGCTGTGTTCTCTGGCAGATTTTTGTGGTCAACAACCAGGAGGAGCTTGAGAGGTTGAACACTCAGAATGCCATTGCCTTCCGTAGAGACCAGCGATCTCTGTACTTCAAGGACAGCCTTGGCTGGCTCCCAATCCAGGTACCTGGGGGCGGGGCCCTTGGGATGCCATCCTCCTGTCCTCTCTCAGGAAAGGAACATTCCCATTAGAGGAGGGAAGGGCAAGACAGTTGGGGCTGGACAGAGTGTCTGCCATGTGCCTTCATGGAAGGGTTATGCATCCTCCCTCATTCCTTTTCTAAGCAACCCTCTGCTGCCCTATCCTAAAAGAATCCCCTGTGGGAAGGACTGCCTCTCCCACCCCTCAAAGGAAGCTACAGGATGCCCCCTGGGCCCAGAGCATCTGTCTGCCAGCAACCTTCCTGCCCTGTGGCTACCTGGGCACACTACCCCCGTTAAAGACTGTGTGTTTCTTTGACCAGCTGACTCCTTTCTACCCTGTGGGTTACACGATAGACCAGCATGGCACCTGTGGGGATGGAGTCCTACAGCCCGGGGAGGAGTGTGATGATGGTAACCATGATGTGGGTGACGACTGCATTGGTGAGTGAGGCCCAAATGGGAGAACCTGAAGCCTAACCATTCAGGGACGTGGGGAGCCCAAGCCCTGGTCACCAGCTGTGATGGTTTGAGGCTGTGCTAGGGCAAGAGACAATGTACCCAGGCTGCTTTGGGTACCTACTTCCTAATTCCTAGCCACATGCTAATTCTTCCACCTCTAAAGCATGTCAACAGGTTGGGTGTTCAGGGTCTTGTTCCCAGAGAGGCCTTCCTTGCCTAAGGCCCTCTTTCCTCCAAGTCCTACTTCTTGGCAAACCCATATTCCAAGCTCAGAAGATGAAGGCAGTGGACCCTCACTGAGTACACAGGAGAGAAGGACAGGAAGGAGAGGCTGTGACCGTGAATCAGAACTCCTTTCCCAGGTAGACCCTAGATACAAGCCCTGTTAGCAGAAGCAGGGCAGCCAGCCCTGCCTATGGGCACTTTTGTTGCTGCCAAGGCCTGACCCTAGATGGCTCACTCTTATTTTTTTAAGCCAAGTGACCAGAGTAGGGAATGAGGTAGAGATATGGTTTTCAAAGTCAGAACAGAGTTCGGGTACCAGCTCTGGTTGAGACCCAGCTCAGCAAAGATGATGGCAGAGTCATTTCCAGCTGAGCCTGTCTCTCCTGACTATAAGAGGCTTGATGTCCTGGCATCTCAGGTTCTTCAGAGATCCCTGCTGTATGTGGGTGTTGTCAGGTATGGCTCAGGTCAGTGCACATCCACCAGTAAGAGGCTTGATGTCCTGGCATCTCAGGTTCTTCAGAGATCCCTGAAGCTGCTGTATGTGGGTGTTGTCAGGTATGGCTCAGGTCAGTGCACATCCACCATCACAACTTGGTTTGTGGAGGGCAGGGCTGGGAGGATGTGGATACAGTTGCTGTCCTTGCTCACAGAAGCTTGGGGAAAGATGGCAGCATTAAGGATGAAGCTGAGCCAAGAGTGGGCTTGGGTGGCAGGGGAGGCTGTTACTGTCTCTCAGTGTATATACATTGGAGCCCTGACAACTCTTGGATGGCAGCCCCTGGGGTTCCAGGCCTTCCTGGAGCCCTTAAAATAAGAACTGTCACAATCAGAATAAGCTTGCAGTATCTCTATAGTCCTCTAAAAACAAGGATGAAGCCAGACATGGTGGCATACCTCTGTGATCCCGGTACTTGGGAGGCTGAAGCAGGAGGATCACTGTAAGTCCAAGGCCACCCTTTGCTATATAATGAGACCCTGTATCAGTTGATCAATCAGTAAAATCCTACTCCTTGTGTGAGGATAGATGTCATTATGGAAGTCACATGGCCCCTGAGGGACACAGAATGGAAGTCACATGGCCCCTCAGGGACACAGGATGAGCCCTGACCCCCACCCCCTAGCTCTTTGCTGACAGGGGAGTAATCATGCTCCCTCACTGGGGTCTGATGCTCCAGTCTCCTAAGCTCACAGTGGCTCTGTTCTGTGAGGGGGAAGCAACGCCAAGGTCCCAGTTTTACAGATAATGGCAGAGGCTCCTGTGCCTGTTACACTGAGCTCTGGTCCCATTATTCTTTTTTTTTTAATTAAAAATATCCTTTTAAAATTTTTTATTGGGGGGAGGGCCTGGAAAGATGGTTCAGTAGTTAAGAGATCTGGCTGCTGTTGCAGAGGACTGGGGTTTGGTTCCCAGCACCCACATGGCAGCTCACAACCATCCATAATTCCGATTTCAGGGTATCTGATGCCCTCTTCTGGCCTCTGTGGCCATTGCATGATCTGGGTACATTTACAAACCTGTAGGCACAATACACTCATACACATTAAAATAAATAAAATTTAAGAAAAATAAAATTTTAATTTTTATGTGTATGTGTGCTTACATGAATTGGTATGTACCTTGTACGTGTATGAGTCTTCAGAGGCCAGAAGAGTGCATTGGATCCACTGGAACTGGAGTTACAGGTGGTTATGAGCCACTAATCGGGTGCTGAGAACTGAACCCTGATACTCCTGATACTATGCAGAGCAGTAAGTGCTCTCAACCTCTGAGCCATCATTCCAACCCCTGGTCCCATTATTCTTGTTTCAGGGTGTGTCAGTATGACACTTAAGGACTGTAGGGCAGTCCCTGGTAAGTCTCAAGCTTTACAGAGATCAGTTCTCAAGTGGACACAGTGCCACAGTGCCCTAGGGGCTTCTCTGGGTCAGTATCCTTATGTAGATGCAAGCCTGTTCCACTCTGCCTCTTCTCAGGGCCTGTCCTTTTTTGTGTCCCCCTAGACTGTCACCGGGCCTACTGTGGAGACAGTCACCGGCATGAGGGTGTGGAAGACTGTGATGGCTCTGACTTTGGTTACCTGACATGCGAGACCTATCTCCCGGGGTAGGGAGACCTCTGAAATATTACAACATCCTCCCTCCGCTGATTTCCCTTAGGGGCCTCGGGCAGAACATAGACAGCCCATAGCCCCATCCTGAGCCCAGGAAGACCAGCAAACTCCAAGTCTGCTGGTGTTCCCTGGTAGTTACTGGGCTGTGGCCTGGGAGGAAATACAGAGAAGGGCAACAAACAGTGTGAGGGTATTTCGCAGACTCCTGTGTCTACCCAGCTGAATTCCTGGAACACACTATCCAGCTCCCACAAATTAAGTGAGATCAGACCAACATTAATATGTAGCTCAGTAATAGAGAGCTTGCCTAGTATACATGAGACCCTAGGCTCAATCCCCAACTCCACAGAAAAGGAAAAGGAGATCCATGACTCCATGGGTAAAGGCACTTGCCATATAGGCTTAGTGACCTAAGTTGTATCCTCAAAACCAATGTAAAGGTGGAAGGAGAGGACCAACTCTACAAAGCTGTCCTCTGACCTTCACATGTGCACACACAGTGGCACATGCACACCCAACACCACATAAACACATCATATACACCATAATAATAAATAAAAATTTCTTCAAAAAGAAAAAGGAAGCTGGGTGTGGTGGCGCACGCCTTTAATCCCAGCACTCGGGAGGCAGAGACAGGTGGATCTCTGTGAGTTAAAGGCCAGCCTGGTCTACATAGTGAGTTCCAGGCCAGCTGGGGCTGTGGTGGCTCATGTTTCTTATCCTACCTCTTGGGAGGCTTAGGAAGTTCCAGGCCAGCTTCAACTACATAGTGAGTTCCAGGCCAGCTGGGGCTACAGGGAGACCCTGTCTCAAAAAGACCAAAAGAGAAAAAAAAGAAAAAGGAGCCAGGCATGGTGGAGCATGCCTTTTATCCCAGCACTTGGGAGGCAGAGGCAGATGGATCTCTATGAGTTTGAGGTCAGCCTGGTCTACATAATGACTTACAAGGCCAGCTGGGGCTACAGGGAGACCCTGTCTCAAAAAAGACCAAAAAAGAAGGAGGAGGTGGAGGTGGGGGAGGAGGAAGAGGAAGAAGAGGAAGAGGAGGAGGGAAAATATCTAATTTTTGGCTCATATCCCCTCCAAAAAATGTACTCCCTTCAAGGACCCCTCTAGTTACCTCTGAGAATCCTTAGTCTGTATTAACATGTGCTAATGTCCTGGCCTCTGAAGCTACCTGAGGACCTCTGGCCCTGTGCCCAGAATGTGACCTTCCTGTGCAAAATGGCGCTGTGCTTGCCTCATCTTCACACAACCAGTTGTGTGGTGGGTATTCTAGGGAGCCCATTCCCAACCACCCATTGCCAATGTTTTGCCCTTCCTCTGGCTCCACAGCACATGTGCTGGCCTCTTAGATCACTGAGTCCCTCATGAATCTAATATCCTCAACTTTGGCTTCCAGCACTTTCCTTCTGGCAGGCCTTCGGCAGGTGAGAAATAGATCCCATACCTGTCTCAGTTACATCCATTCCATACTCTCAGGAGTTTCCTCAACACTCACTCTCCAACATAGATCAGCATTCAACCAGGCTGTGGGAATTGCACACCTCCAGTCACCCCCCAGAAGCCATGCCTGATAGGCTTAGCCAGGACCTCACTACATATGTGTGTCTGTGTACACTCTCCATGTCTGAACTAGGGAAGGCTTCTAACAGGCATCTGCAGAGCTGGCCTGGCTGAGCTGCTTGATGGCTCCATGGAGATGTGGAGTGTTAACAGCCTCACATGGAGTTCAGGGATGGGCAGAGCCCAGGGCTTATACACTGACTTACTAGGGGCCCTCCCCTAATCTCCAGAAGCCTCCAAGGGGTCCTTGTGAATCTGTGTGGCTAAGACAGTCTTGGGATTCTCATTTGGGTTTGCAGTTTAACACACCAGCACCCATTACTTCAAGTTTGAAACCATTAGAATTTTTAATTCAGTTCTCAGTCACACGAGCCATGTTTTAAGAGCTCAACAGCTACACCAGGCCAATACTGCACAGGAGAAAATGGCATCCATACTGAGTGACCTCTAGATGGCACTAGACCCTGATCAGGGCCTGATTGTCTCATAGATGCTGTATTGGGAACAGGGCAGACCATTCATTTCACCTTGGTCCCTCAGCCATAGCTCATGGTAAAAAACTCCAGAGACCTGACTCAACATCCCTGAGCTCTATACCCCCAAATAAGACAGAAAAGCTTTCATTAGAACCCTTGACTCTGGGGCCAGAGAGACAGCCCAGCAGTTAAGAGCACTGACCGCTCTTGCAGGACCTGGGTTCGATTCCCAGCACCCACATAGTGGCTAACAACCATCCGTAACTCCAGTTCTGGGGGAATCCGATGCCTTCTTCTGACCTCTGTGGGCACTGCCTGACGCAGGTGCACTTACGTACATGTAGGCAATACACTCATACACATTAAAAATATAACAAAAATAATAAAATTTAAAACAAAGAATCCTCAGCCCTTAGTGAGAGATACAGTAGTTTGATGCAGTTGGACCACAAGTCACCAGAGGTGGCCTTTTAGAATGTGCCTTTCCCTCACAGCTAGACAGGAACTTCCTGTCCACCGTGCTATCTCTACCCTGACCAGTGTCTTTGCTTCTCTCAGATCATATGGAGACCTTCGGTGCACCCCGTACTGCGACATTGACTCCACACCCTGTCGCTACTTCACTTGAGGGGCACAAGGAGCAGGTTGGCTGCAGCCCATGTAGCCCATGTGGATAGCAGCTCCTCTACCCCTCACATCAAGCTGGCCTTGCCCTCTCCTGGGCCAGTGTCTACTGACCTTCATGTGACAAAACAAGGACACATTCTTGTTACTAAGATGTGCTTTTGACTCAGTCTGACTGGAAGAATTTCAGACCACTGCATCCTGTCTTAATCCAAAGTACCGGAAACCTTCCACATGCCCACCTTGGGTACTGTACTGTTCGCCAACTCTACCATCCAGCTCAACAGCTGGCTGTAATGCCCGTTCTCTTCTGGAATGGCACTGGCCCAGGCCACAGACTTGGCTTAGCACTGTTAGACACATGGGAACATGTGGGCTGATGTGGTTTGTCCTAATTTCATCTGGGGGATGCTGGTGCACAGGCTTCTGCACCCCTCAGACCTCCAGACACAGCCATTCTCACCCAGGCTGGCCAGCTGCAGGTCTCTCGAGATTTGAGAACCACAGAGCAGGAGGTGGGTATCTTTTCTCCAGGCGGCTCACAGCTTCGGACCTGCTGAGGGATCCTTCAACTGGCTAGAGCCCAGCCCAGCTTCGTATGGCTAAGGTGCCCCCAGGAAGAGACCCAGCTATCCAAAGGTACTAAGAAAACCACAAAACCCATGTTCATACCTGAGAAGAGGGTAAAAGCTCAGCTGGGTCACTTGCCATGTGAGCCATAGGAGAGCAGAAGCCTTCCTCCTCTTGAAATTCCCCAAAAGGATGGTGGTGGTAGCTTCAAGTCCCAGGCGCCATCTTGACTACATAGTTCTCTGTGTACCTTTGACCTCTATCTTGGCAGTGCACCATTTCCTGTTTGGGAGCCGCATTCCATAAGCCCACACCTGGGCAGATGCTGGTGTTTTCTCATCCTGGCTTCTCCAGTCTAGGGCCCCACTGCTGAGTCCTTGCTGCCTGCTGACTCTGGTGAAGGCCCTGTGACCCCTTCTGTGCCTTCATCTTACCTGCCCTTTGCTCCCACCCATGTGAGGGACTGCCTCCTTTTTCATGGGCTCCTTAGCCCTGCATGTCTGGGAACTGCTTTTCACCCCATCTTTCCTAGGTGGGGCTTGGCTTTATTTTAGAAAGACATGTCTTTGCCTCTATGCACTGTCAACACGTAGGCATGCCTCCCTGGGGTGTTGTACAAAGCTCTTCAGTGGGCCGAAGTCTTGAGAACTCAGCAAATTTGTCTTCTGATGCAGCCCAAGGGAAGTATTCTCACAGGCAGGCATGCTGGCCAGCTGGCTGCCTGGATCCCTAAAGCAGGCCCCGGAGAGATGTGGCTTCTGTGCTATTTTTGTTACCATTCTGGGGACTCTGGGTGGGAAAGCAAGGAATAAAGACAGTTCCTGGCAGTGGCCCACTCTTCTTTGGGGGGTTGGGGTCAACGTTTTGGCAATCCTGGATGGAGTGAAGAGACCTGGTTCAGTTCTGCTTCCCAGACTCTCAGAGCACTGGACTAGGGGGATTATCTAGCTCCCTACTAATGAGGGAGGAGACTGATGTTCTGAGAGGTAGTAGGGCTTGCCAAGAGTCACAAAACCCAGCCTTGATAAGCTGGTCTCACCTCTAACCTTGCTTGAGAACCTGTTTAAGATGGGGTGGAGGGGCTGGAGAGATGGCTCAGTGGTTAAGGGCATTGGCAGCTCTTGTAGAGGACCTGGGTTTGATTCCCAGCACCCACATGGCAGCTAACAACTGTCCATAACTCCAGTTCCAGAGGATCCGACGCCCCCTCTGACCTCTACAGGCATTGCATGACATGGGTGCACCTATGTACATGCAGGCAAAACATTCATACACATAAAATAAAAATAATAAAATATGTTTTTAAAGATGGGGTGAAGATCTAGTACTTCCTGTAGATCTGGCCAAGAGGCCTCTGTCCTGAGTCCCACACCTTGGAGGGCAGCACTTAAGGCCTTTGCTGGTCTGACCCTCTTCACAGGGCGAGGAATCTGTGGGGCTGAGGCTGAGGGAGATGCCCACTGGAGCTCACAAACTCCTCTCTTGGAATATGCTCTCTGAGCCAGGCAAAGTGGTACACGCTTTTAATCCCAGCACTTGGGAGGCAGAAGCTAGCGGATCTCTCTGAGTTAAAGGGCAGCCTGGTCCAGGCCAGCTGGGGCTACAGGGAGACCCTGTCTCAAAAAGATCAAAAAAAAAAAAAAAAAAAAAAAGGATATGCTCTCAGGTGCCCCAGGAAACCACAAATCCCTCCCTAAAATGTCCCAAGCCAAGGATGGACTTTGGGCAGGCTGCAGTTCCCAGGGGCACACAAGAGGCCTTTACCAGAGGTAAAAAAAGAGGGGTCCCTCTAGGGCCCCAGCTCTCAATGGGCTTCCACATGTTGTTGAGGAGTTTGTGCAAACTGGCCTCCTGGTCTTCATCAAAATGTATCTGTTGAGGTGAGCACATTGAACTAATTTAACAGTAACTAAGTATCTGGGCTTATCTCTGGACCCCATAGGATTAGGAGTAGGCCTATCTCCAGTTGTTTCAAGGAAGGATTCTGAAAGGCTCCAAAGAGGATTCAAAGTTCAGTGTTTAAAGGATAACAGTGACTGCCCCCTTGGCTTTGTAGGCTGGGAAGCTAAAGGATCAGGAAAGATGGGTGTCCCCCGCCCCCACATACCATACACTTTGAAATGCTGACTCTGATGCAAGGAGCAGCTGTCCCTGAAAACAGATGGGTGCACTGCCTGAGGAGACCCCCAAATAGGCCAAGCAGCCACAGAACAGGTATCTAAGAGCCCATCTGTGCCCAGTAGATGTTCCCTGAGATAATTTGCTGGCTAACCTGGAGGCAGCTGAGGGGCTCCAGTGTGAAGGGCAGAACACAGAAGGAGAACCATCCCTGAGTTCACTCCTGGTCGTCACCTCTTCCAGCCAGCATTGTCCCGCTAGAAAGAAACTTCAGACAAGGATTGCATTTTTCTCTAGCTCTGTCAGTTTGCCCATATAGACTCTGCTCTAGAGCTGGGAGAGCACTACCAGAGCTGGTGAGGAATTCCCTCAGCTGCCCCTGAGGCTGTCACATGGAGTGGCTGAGCACATGACAAGGTCTTCAGAGATGCAGTTAGCAACCAAAGGAGGTTATGCCAGACCAGCTATCACCACAGGGTGATGACTGACTACAACTTAATGCCCAGTGACAGGTGGACATCAGGCAACATTCAACCAAGGGCCGCACTTCCTTTTTCTGCATCCTCTTGGCTATTTGTATCTCTTCTCCAATGTGAGCCGACCGCTGTGGTTTCAAATTATATCTGCTTCCCTGAAATACAGAACATCTATTTCATTGACTCTTGGTTTTTTCCTCCAGATCCCTTAGCTAAATCTTGTCTTGAGTCTACTTGGCCTATACTAGATCCCATGGCTCTAAATGAACAGTCAGGAGCCCTGAGGGGCCTCAGAGTTCATATTACCCTATGTTTTGCACCATGGTGGAGAAATGGAGTATTTAGACACAGCAGACCAATTCTGAGACTAGCTCACCCCATGTTTACCCTGTTTCCAACATAGGCTCCAACTCTTTCCAGCAATCAATGGAGTCTGTTTCCTCACCCCTTGGTGGTGAATATGGCTCTGTAACTTGCTTTGGCCAGTGACACCTTAGCAGCTGTGAGCCAAGCATCTGCTGCTTGTCTCTCGTTCTTGTTTCCTGTCTCTGCTGTGGGGACAGCCTGGAGCTGCTGGAAGGAAGGCTCACAGAACAAGGGCGGCATTGCTCCAGTTGCCCCAGCCAAGGGGGCAACCTCACACTGTGTGACCTGTGAGAGAGCCAGCAAGCCCAAAACTGTCTAGCCAAGACCAGACTAAATTACCAGTCCACCATCTTGCAAACCAATAAATGCTATTGCTTCAAGCTACAAAGTTCTGGGATAGTTTTTTGCATAGCATTACAGAGGCAGCAGTTGACTGAAGATAATACTCCCCTGGGAGAGAAATGTACAGAACTACTTTCCTATTGAGGTGATTCAAGTCTGTGTTTACCTGAGAATTTAGGTACCAACTGAAGAATAAATAGTAGAAGACTTTTAGGTCAGCATGTAATTTTATCCAGTCCAAATATATGAGTATCCATTAGAGACACTAGAGAAAATAAAGAAGGAATACATGATGGCTCATCTAAGAGTTTACAGTCTAGCAAGGGAGCCAAGGTCACAAGCCAGAGGCAGGTTCTGCCAAAGCAGGATTGCTGCCAGCTGTGCCAGCTGCCAGAGGTCTCAGGTGGTGGTGGGGGCAGCATTCCAGGTGCCCCAGTGACTGGAGACTAAAGCTAGGGATCCAGGGCTGGAGAGATGCTCAGCGGTTAAGAGCACTGGCTACTCTTGCAGACAACCTGGGTTCCGTTCCCAGCACCCACATGGAGGCTAACAACCATAGTAACTCCAGTTCCAGGGGATTTGATGCCCTCTTCTGATGTCCACGGGCATTGCACAATGGGTGCACTTACATACTTACATACATGTAGGCAATACACTTATACACATAAAATAAAAATTATAAAATATTTTTTAAAAGGATCCAGCTTGACCCTCACCAAGAAAAATGACCTCAAGCTGGGTGTAAGTTTTGAATTCCATACCCTTTTTTCTTTGTAATGTTAAGATTTCCTTTTTTAAAAAAATATTTTATTTTATTTTATTTTATGTGTATGAGTGTTATGCCTGCATGTAGGTAAGTGCACCTGTGTTGGGCAATGCCCGAAGAGGACAGAAGAGGCGGTCAGATCCCCTAGAACTGGAGTCACAGACAACTGTTAGCTGCCAAGTGGGTGCTGGGATTCTAACCAGGTCTTCTGCAAGAACAGTGTTCTTAACTACTAAGCCATCTCTCCAGCCCCTGTAATGTTAAGATTTTCATACATAAAAACCTAACTTGAACATTTTAATGAGGTGTGATGATATTTGAGACAGGGTTTTCCTAAGCAACCCAGGGTGGCTTTGAACTTGTGATCCTATGCTACCCTCTTTTGAGTGCTGGGATTATAGCTGGGTACCACCCTGACTGGAATTTGTGTGTTGTTTCAACTGGGCTAAACATATTTATGTCATCAAACATCATTTCTTTGTAGTGCAAATTTTCAAAATCCTTTACAACAAATGATGGGATGGCATTCTTTTTGTTGGCTGAATATTATTCCATTGTGCATATATACCACATTTTCTTTGTCAGTTGAATAGGTACATAGACTGACTGTTTCTTGGCTCTTGGGAATGGCACTGTAATGAACTTGGGAGAGTAGATGGCCCTTCAACATGGACTTCATCTCTTTTGGCTATATCCTTAGTGGCAGAATTGCTGGGTCATATGGTAGCTCTATTTCTAATTTTTTGATGAATTTTCATGCTACTTTTCATAATGTAAATTTATACTCCCTCTGGCAGAGTGAAAGGGGTTCTTTTTCCTCTACATTTTTTCAAAACATGTTTTATTAATTTTATTTAAGTTTATGTGTATGAGTGTATTGCCTGCATGTATGAAAGTGCACCATGTGTGTGCAATGCCCATAGAGGCCAGAAAAGGGTGTCAGATTCCCCAGAAACTGGAGTTATGAATGATTGTTAGCCACCATGTGGGTGCTGGGAATCGAACCCAGGTCCTCTGGAGGAACAGCCAGTGTTCTCAGCTGCTGAGATGTCTCTCTAGTCCCTTTTCTCTATATTCTTACCAGCACTTTTATCTTTAGTCTTTTTG